TAAAATATTGCAAGCATAACCTGTTGTGATATCACGCATTTTGTGACATCATAGATGACTTCAACATTAAATGGCCATACAATGGAGGGCATGGTTTTATAAGGGGGATGAGGGGGGGGGGTCGACAAATCGAAGTGTATAGGTCTCGGAGACCCTTCCGAAACTTTTCCGAGGGTGCACAAATCGATCATATCGGATGTCCCGAAATATTTCGGGTTTGAAGATTTCTTGCGGTTATCATTATCTCCAAAATTTGACTCAAATTTCATTGTAGGTATTGCTTATTTTTAGAATATCGGTCGTTAATGTTGTCATTTTTAAACAGGCAAAGGAATTTAGAAGAAATGCACTCTGTTGCTATACCTTTGTTATTGTTAAATTACCTCATTCTAACATTGCATTTACGGTTGCAGTAATAGTTATGATAATTTATGTTTGTACTTCGAATTGCTTAAGAAAAATATGAACATAAATATTAATTACTTTGATTCAGAATTCCAACTCTCATGCTTCAATAGAAACCGAAATTAATAGATAACCATGAGTGACTCACACTGCATGATCTTTCAATGATATTGTCACCTGAGTGACAAACATATAAACTAAACAAAGCGAGGTACATGTATATTGATATATTATCTGCATCCTTCGATTTTGTAAAACATTATTCCATGTTCGAGTAAACTGTGCTATTGTTGATTTTGACAGTTGCTCAGTTTGCCAAAGAGTTCACCGCGGCGAATATCTTTTTTCATAAGAACCGATCCGATACATCCGGTCTTCAATAGGCGCGTTTAACCGTGACCGACGAACCTCAGACAGGTTTTCTTTTTTGTTTCTGTTAAAGGTAAAATGTAAAGATACGTTTATCACAAGATCCAACGAGAGATAAGTTGATGAAGGCAACTAATAATGATCTACCAACACGAGTGATATAGATAATAACGGATCCATGCATATTCATGAGAAAAATATAATATGCACCAATCAAGAAATCATGGAAGAAGATTGGGACTAACTTCGATGGAATATGATCGTTGCATAGAAGTAAATGTTGCATAAGTGAATAGTTTTACAGTTTAAAATTTTACTAATTTTAGGAAGTATTTTTAAGGTCGGTCATGGATTTTTTTCAGGACCGACGAGACATTTTCTGCATGTGTAGCGATTCAGAATGATGATTTTAAGCTAGTATCCTCCTTGTTATTGTTAATAACTAAAGCTCCATTACATTTGATTATCAGAAGTAACTAAACCTTTAAAATTTTATCTCTTTTCTCTTTTCTCACACCCCCCCCCCCCTTCCCCCTTTAAACAAAAATTATCCATTGTTGAATTCTTTTTAGTTGACAACTCGCTGCACATGATAAGGTCTTGTCAAAACAAAACGATTTGGGCTTCACACGGCCCGTTCCGTTGGCATTTAGACAATTCACGAATGACATTAAAACTGTTATTTGTATTGCATTATTTAAAACCTCACAGGGTTTAATCTAACTTGTTATTGAGCAGGTTGATTCTCTGGCGTTAGCTCCTACGCCAGTGGCACCAGGCTTGGTTTCGTCCAAATTATAGGGTAAGGGTAGGGGTTGCAAAGGAGTAGGCTTAGGGTTAGGGTTAAGGTAGGATTCCTAATGAGCTTTACAATATGCTTGTAGGCATAAGGTTATGGGTTCCGTCAGGGTTATACGATATTGGCATGGATGAGGTTTAGAGTTATGGTTTAATAGAATAAGGTGCCGCGTAAGAGATAGGATTCGGGATATGGTTAGGGTAAGGTCTAGGGTTAAAGCAAGAAAGAGGATAAGGATCATGGTGAGGATAAAGTAAGGGTTGTGTTAGGGTTACGGTTAGGGCTAGTATTAGGTTTAGGGTTACGGTTATGATTAAAATAAGGGTTAGCGTTAGAGATAGGATTCGGGTGATGATTCGGGTTGGATTTGGGTAATGGTTAGAATAAGGTTTATGGTTATGGGAGATAATGTTTAGGGTTTTTGTCTGGGTTATGCGGTTAGCACTAGGTTAAGGTTTAGGATAAGGGATGGAATTCGGGTTAGGGTTGGGGTTAGGGTTAGGATAAGGTTTTGGTAAAGGTTATAGGGTTATTGTAAGGGTTAATTTCAGGGTTAAGGGTTCGGGTAAAGTAAAGTGTTTGGTCCAGGGTTGAAGTTTGTGATTCTCTTAGGAACCCTTTATCGTGGAGTGACTCTCGCATGGTAAACTTTAAAAGGTGTGTTGGTCCATTGGATAAGTCTGCAGACTTTTAGCAAAAAGGTACGGGGTTCGAATCCCTGTCGCAGCACAACCGTCCTCTGGCGAGACAATAATCTGCATTTGCAAGAATCCATCCCGTAACAAATGGCCGGTCAATGAAAATGTTCCATTTCGTCCACAAGCTGTAAAAAATAATTAATTATTTTGTTCGCCTATCAGACATTATTGACTAGCCCGAAATCTCTGTTTCAGTCAAAGCTAACCAGGGACTACCCGCAACGCCCCCCCCCCCCCCCAATAAAAAAATAACAGTAGTGCTAATTATAGAAATAAAGAATGAGTTAATAAATCTATATAATTTATATTTAAACAAAATTATATTGGTATATTATTGTGGTGACTGCTTCATCTGTTACGTATGTTAACCAATTCACGAAATTTCTGTCATCCTATTTAGTTTGTTGGAGAATATTGGTGCTTTTGTTGTTGATGCGATATGTTATTGTTTAAGTGGCCCAAACGCATGGAGCAACGGGAATAAGTGCCATATCAAATATCTTTTGGACTGGATTGAATTGGATATTTTCTCACTTTAATTTATCGCTCAAGCGGAAAAAGAAAATAACCGCGATAAACGGTCATATTAGGTCATCTGACAGACAATAGAAAAGATAGTTCCATCTAGTCGAATAACCTTGAATATTGTAACTGTGAACAGCTAATTCATGTTTACAGATCTTGACTCGTCGCAAAGAACTCATCTGTGTCACGCTTTGAGGCGGAAACGGATGACAATGCCGAAGGGTCAGACGATACGAATAATTTCTGACCATAGGAGGTTAGTAGAAAAAGGCGCGCTTTTAATAGCACCGATGCACTCACTAATCACAGATATTAATCAACAGAAGTCATTTCCTGTCACTAGCTTCTTTTGTAACGTTACGTGAGATAGACAGTTAATACACTTAAATAATTGATTGAGCCTGTGTTGATTGTCATGTGTGGTTTTTTCCCCTCATTTTTCTGATCGTTGTTCCCCCCCCCCCCCCCCTCCCAATTTTCCTGCCAATGGACTTATTTTCAAATCAAACTCTTTTCGGAATTTTACCTGAAATATTCTAATTTGTATTGGATATCGGAATGAAGATTGGTGCCATGTGAAATACGCATTGAAGGAATAATTTCATTTTCCCCTAATTAAGGGTTTCAATAAATAGATCTCGTATAGCGAAATGCGCTTTCTTATCAAAGTGCTTTGAAAAGTAGAAACTCAGAATGATATTTCTGATCTTGATTTTGTTTTACTGCTCTCTCTCTCTCTCTCTCTCTCTCTCTCTTTCTCTGTCTCTCTCTCTGTCTATCTCCCTCTCTCTCTCTCTCTCTCTCTTTCTCCCACATTAACTTTCTTGTCTGTTTATCGCCACTCTCATAGTTTTCTCCTTTCGACCACCCCCCCCCCCCCTTTCCTCTCATTTTCTTTCATAATCAAACTTTAATAAAACAAAACTAGATAATTCTCTCGACTTTAAACTTCAATATATACACATACGACTCCTCTCTTAATTCCATCTCTTAGATTATTTGTTTTCAGGTATGGAAAGAGTCACTTTACTCCATTCAATCTCTTGACTGCCACCCCTCCCCCTTCCATCTCCCTCTTTCTTTCTTTTTTTCCTTCTGCTTCTTTTTCTTCTCCTTCTTCTTTTCTTCATATTCTGCTTCTTCTTCATTAAAAAAAAAACCCTCTTTCTCTTGATCTCGTTCATCATTACTCTCTCGTCGGAATTTCTCTCACCCCACCCCCTCTTCCCCTTCTCCCTCTCTCTCTCTCTCTCTCTCTCTCTCTCTCTCTCTCTATTTCCTCCCCCTCTCTCCCTCTCCCCCCCTCTCTCTCTCTCTCTCTCCCTCTCTTTTGGTTCATATTTTCTCCAATTTGTCCCCCCCCCCCATTCACCCGGACAGATTTTTTTTTTTAATCAGTTGTTGTTTTTGTTGTGATTAATGGCGTTTCCAGTTTATCACGAAATGTTTTTTAAATATCTCAGGGGAAAATCCGACACTCTATAAAGAGGCAAATACAACATATTTCAATGTTAAGAAAGTTTTTTATTTTTCTTCAAATTCGACAAAAATTCAAAAAGATACAAGTATTTACACAAAATAATGGAAAAAAAGTATTTCATAGTCCTATTTTGTCATTCCAAATTGTACAGTTAACATGTCTTAAGAAAAATGTATTTACATGTTAGTAACACTTTTATCCATATAATTACATTTGGTTCATGTTTTCGTTGCTGAAAGTTTATTCGTTTAATATTAATTAAATTACTGTGACTACTTCTCTTATTTACTATTATCATTTTGTTCCTTTTTTCTATTTGTTATAACATATTTTTCTTGGTGAATATGTCCACAAAATGGATTTCACCAGATGTAGTGCCATGAATGGCAAATTTGTTACCAATTTTAAATATTGATGTTATAGATGCGAACGAGTCCTTTATCCTTAAAGTATAACAGACAAGCTTTAGTTGACATTGGTTTACGAAATACACATTATTCAACCAATTAAATTTAATTTAATTTAACAATCTTTTATACGGTATTTTGGGATTTTAAGTATCATCGGATAATAGTTCTTAAATAATTACAATTATCAATATTCAGGATATACAATAGTACAATTCGGAGGGCAGAAAGAATACACATTGAATACATACATTGCACAGGGACGGTAAATAACCAATATAAAGTTGATTATTTTCTTTATGAAGGCCGGGAGGGGGGTGGTTAACTGCATAATAAAATTATCAGAGGTTCCGATTTCTTTGTAAACCTTTTTTTTTCGTTGGATCAAGATGATCAATCAATAAATTAAATAATTACATCATTAAAATACAAAAGCAAGGAGATGCAAAGCCCCAAATATCAAACTATTTGTTTCATTTGCATAGCATTATCTTACGAACTAGTTTGTCCACCTATTTCAATTATAATCAATTCGCAATAAAATCAGTATTATTTCCAAATTAAGATTACCTTCTAAGTTCCACTGTTCCCTTCTTTGTGTGACTTAATTTAATACTGTCATAAAAAAAGGATATATCATAAAGAACACAAATAAAAAGGGCAAGTTTTATAATGCTTAAGCACCTATGTCATATCAAGGTATGGTAATAAATTATGGAAAAAGACAATAACTGTGACGATACAAATCCATCGTAATTCGTCATAATTATTAAAAGGTTGCATCGTTGAGCGGTAGGTCGTGGCTAGTATTAAGAATACAATCAATTTCTTCTTATCAAAGGTTTTATGATCACCGGAGCTACAGTATGAGATACATAACAACAAAGGCAAGATGTGGATATTTGGCAACAAAAAAATAGTCGATTAATTTCTGAACTAAATTGCTCGTTTGGAATGGCGGTACGTAACCCAACATAAAATGACCCCCTTACTCTCGTTATGCAAAACCTCACCAAACGTTCCGAAGAAAAATCATCACATGATCGGTGCTCTTAGGTGCAGTACATATCACACATTCTGTTAGATTATTCCATCATTCTAAGCAGGGTTTATCCCGTCAAAGTCCCGAGAGTCGTCCGTATGTTTCTCCAACTATCCTAACTATTTGGTTAATCATGAACAGTTCTAAATCAGTATTAAATTAATATTTGGGGCCATGTTCGGGTACTAGTCAGATCAACCACATCAATACTTTTCAAGGGTAATGATCACTGTCTTCAAAACTGGCATCGAATACTGCACATAAATCCATATGAAATGCATTACATATAATTAACAGATAATTCGTTTATATATCAATCACTCTCTATATAAACCCCCCTGTTTGGGATAATAACACTTTGAGCATGAATGGAAGACTATCTGGCAAAATTATCAATGCACTTATATTTATTCTTAAGGCACTGAAGGAGATCATTGGTAAATATGACTTTTGACATTCAAATGTGAATATTAATAGGTTTGTTTGAATATGAATAAACCAATACATAATTACGCTAACATAAGTACTTTTCGTTTTCATTCATTACAATTCTGTGAACAAGGATTTTCGAGCTAGATTTTGTTTCAACACTAAACATGTAATTCAAATGAGGCAAATGTAATCACACCTCAGTAGTCTCAAACATCGAAAATCATGAATTAAGAAATTAACATAAAATACAACATACAAGTCCCTTTACCCTAAGACAAGACGAGACTTTGCAACAATAATAAGATCAATATGTATTAATATATTAAAAAGAAGAAGCGTTTCATAAAAACTTTCTTTGAGATAAATGTATACGACTTCCCGGCACAACCCCCAAATGACATATTAACCAACTAAAGCGAGTTCTAACCTACTTATTCTTTCTCAATCTTCACATTCACGTGCATGTAGTCCTTCTCCTTATAGCTGATTCCGCTCTATACAACATTCACATCATTGATTTAATGATCCAATATCAAAATTATCCACAAATACATTTCTATATCTGTCTTTCCTTACGCTGTACCGTTTCAATCTGCTATACATAAACATATACATATAAACATCATTCTCGTCCTTCATTCGCCTATCGTTACCTTTTAGAAATTACCTATTCTTTCAGTTGTTAAACTTTGCACATTACGATGTTTGTGTTCGCTTCATTTATGTGATATCATCTGGAATATCCATCGACTCTTGACATTAAAGGTTCTCGTTATAAAGTAGTACAATATCACCGTAAACAGATAGCAAGTCTGGCATCTTTGCAGTGTTCTGTTGATGAAGAGTCATTTAGGTGCTGTGGGACATACCGATTTACGGGTGGAACTCTTTATTTGTCCTAAATTTCTGGAGAAGGCTTTTCTCCTGTTCTCACAGTCAGCAGACGGTCGTCGAGCGCACCTGACCTGGTGTTTCGTTGTCCCTCCTCCATATTGCTGCATCTACCAGCATATGGAAAGGACTGCTGGTAGGCGCTTGGACCATGTGTGTATTGCCAGGAAGGCGGAGGGCGTCTTCCGGATATGCGCGTAGACGTGCTTTGTGCATGGCGAGGGTGTCGACGTCGTGTTTCAGAGACAAGTCTAATGGCGATTTGCGCTCGCTAAGTTTTGATTTGGGCATTACCTGTTGGTAATCTCTGGAGTATAGGAAAGGAATGAAGGGATGTGCAGGCGGGAGTGTTGGAGAGTGGCGTGCGTTCAGGACAGGACTCGAGTGATACTTGCTCGCTTCATGGAGCCGCAGATGGTGCATCATGTCGGTGGAGAGATCACGAAGATATGTCGGAACGCTGCTTGGCAAGGGGTAGTCGTACGGGCTGGATGACGCCGACATTTTGCGAGCGACTGGTGACGGTGTCCTGCAATCGTTGCAACCGCTGTCGGATTCGCCTTCGGAGCTGATGTCCGCAGCGTTGGAATCATTGTCGTGGAAGTTAGAGCTGATGGTATCCATGGCACAATCGGTTGAGGATACAGAGGACACTGCGGAATCGTCGCTCTTTTCGCTATTGCTTCTTTCGCGACCCTCGCATCTTTCTGAAGAGGAACTCTTGCTGGTTTTACGACTGATGGTGAACTTGTCAGGGTCTCTTCCTTCGCGACGAATCATCTCTGGCAGGATACGTCTTCGAGCGTTGATGAACCAATTGCACACCTGGAGAAGAGTGAGGTTAGCCAAGCGAGATAGGTAGAGCTTCTCCTGGTCGTTGGGGTAAGCGTTGTAGCGATGCTCATAAAGCCATGCCTTCAGGATATTGACGGCTTCCTTTGGGAGATTTCCACGACGTTTCTTTGGCGGGGCACTGCTGCTGGACACGAGTCGCCTCTCACCATTGGGACGAAACTTCTTGTGGACGAATCCATCGAAATCGGTTTCTGCTTTCATCATGACTGGGTGTTTATCTGCAAGATAAGAGGAACAACAGAGGAGAGAGTTTAAAATTCAGGTTGCACCAACTTAAAATACACTTAAGAATGAATAACTCGCCAGTTATTGTAAACACCACTACCAATGCCCTTAACAAAAAAATGTGTGCGCAATTTGTGCGCACTGATTCTAAAGCTGGGTAATGCACTCTGTCACCCCGCAAAATTGAAAACCTGCCAAATTTATTAGCAAGTTTCACTTATTCTTCAAGTAGTCAAGGACTAGTAGACGACTTTATAAGACCTGACAGGATCTACAAATGGTGTGGTTTTAACAGCGTCACAACATCGCGGTAACTCGGTGTCACGTCTCAGGGAGAAGGAGTCTACCGACAGGACATATCTGGATTAGTTTCGTGACATCAGACCCTGGCCCAGAATAAATCGAAATCATTGTCACGATGACAGCGCAGAATCTCGTTTGAGGATCACAGGTTCCTCCGAAGTGACATGGAAAGGAAAAGGGAACTGTCGCTATCCGGAAAGAGGCCTGTTCGGGCTCTCAACACCAAGACGTGAATCACTGCTCCAAATTCATGTGACTTCCAGTCAATGGCAGATGGCTGCCTGTCTACTACGATCCTGACATATGTGAGCTAATCCCTACGATCAGCTTCATCCTAGAAGCCCCTGGAAAAAATGAGATGGAAGTAACAATATGCCTCGTCCTGAAAGAAACGCTACAAAAATAGTTTCTTTCAAGAATAGTTACACCCTTGTGTCCGACTGTCTGTTCAGTCGTGCAAGGGAGGAGTGATTTTCCACATAATTATAATATTTAGGTTCCATTTCTAGAAGTGAATTTCATATTCTAAACCACTCTCAGTGTGTCTATTACGTCATGGTTCGTAAAACACGATCACAAATACTTTCGAAGAATCAATTCGAGGGTAATTTCGATACCCTATAGTGTACATCCCATAGAAAACATGCTCAGAATAGATAGTACATCATTGTCACGTTCGCATTTATTTCAATGGGTGACGCACAAGGCTATCGATATTGCCCTTGGTTGAATTTTCGAAAGTAGTCGCCATCGTGTTTCGAACTGTGACTGTAATTGCCGGCTTTTTGTAGCTTGTAGTGGGTGGCACAAACAGTTTCCCCCAAGTAAGATTTTACCAATTCTGAAATGAAAAAGGAGTGGCGCTCCAAATTAATCACCCGGCCCAGAATGGTGTAGAGTAATAATTCTGTTTCTCTACTAATCCTTCTATTACCCCATCTTACACGCGACATGTCTTCGTCACTACACAAACTTCTGGGGATCTTTTTAACGTTCTTAGTTTCTGGTGCCAAGATCTTCCGCGTCAGTCCCGCCGATTCAAGGGCACCGGGGTCCTAAAAAGTGCAATCCAAACCAAAAGGTGTATAGTTCTCTTTTTTCTCTTCCTCCAAAATATAAGTTTGCTTTCAAACCGTGACTTTCATAAAAACCACACGAGTCATACTGGTTACGTCATAACCACATGAAACGTCATGACTGATTACCATTCTCAGGTCCAAGTCATGGGTTGGAAAGAACATCCCGTGATTGAGCTGGTCGGAGAGTTTAAATTCAGAGAGCGGGAGTAAAAAGAGGGCGCGCACCTGGCATGCCAGAGAAGGCTGTTGTGACATTGGAGGGCTCTCAGACTTTCTCAGCCGCTTCCACCTGGCTGGAGAAGGTTGTGTCATTGGGTAAATATTAGCCTTGGAAGGCAAAGTTGACTTTAAACGAGATCACTCTCGTGGAAGTGATCCAATGACTAGCCGTTGTCTTACACGGCCTTCAAAAGATTATATCATACTTTTTGAATTATACCATATCTTTAAAAGTATATCATACCTTTGAAATTATATCACACCCTAAAAACGATATACCTTTAAAAATATGCCATACCTTTAAAATAATGTGAATTATCATTTGAAAATTTGAGATATTCTTCTTAACAGGTGAAATGAGCCGGTGATGCATTATAAACAATCGACAACAAAAAATTATAATAAAAACCTATGTATCATATGCAAGTGTGTCTATATCCTCTTCAAATTTTCTTCACCCAAACAAAGCAATGAACTTGAGAGCGTTCAATCAGTCCAGACAACTCAACGGGATAATTGTGCAATAATGATCTCACATAATTTTCCCCGACTGTTATTTTAAAGTATATGACAGACGTCACCGACGTTTCGGTTCCATAAACATGTTAGCATGCCCCTTCATTCCTATCAAGTTTTAGTTCCACGCTTTGCGCGCCTCCAGCTGCAGCGGTGATATAAAATAATATAACATCCCTCGACAAGGAAACCAATATCGGATCCTGTTTCTAAAACAATTAATAAGAACACGTTCTACCGCTTGGCTGGCTGGTGAAGTTTAGAAATCATTATTATTTCCGTAATTCCTTCTCTCTCACGAGTTTGCCCGAGTCTTTCTTTCGCTACCTCGTAGTTTCACTTTTGCTTTGGTTTGGATTCTCTAGGTGAATAAAGAGATCCGGCAAATCTTTATTGGCAGTTATAATTTATTGCGTATGATCCTTGCCACGCTGTAATTCTATTAGCAGATGATGTCATAGATAGAAGTATCCATAATTATTGATTTCGGTAAGGCAAGTTTTTAATAAAACACCTTAATAAAGCTAGACTTAAAACAAACATCCAGCCCAGCTACCATGCCTCTTTACAACAATTTGTCATTTTTAGTTTCTAATGCCACAATGGATATCATCCTACTGCTGACATGTTATCATCAGTTTAGTGTTAATTAATTCACGTTTTTATGATCTTTGTTATCTTCGGCATAAAGGGACAACTTGGCGATTGAGTACACCACCCGAGTGTTTAAAAGGGGGTTGGGTTGGTCAAAAGGGAAAGGTACTGTTTGAGCTTCCTGATTCTATTCTTTCCCCTATGAGAGTGGCCCTTGAAGAATAATGCTCTGGAAGTGCTCCCTGATTTTAGACACACATGTTTTTTAAATTCCCATGTACTCGTATCTGTGTGCAGTGATTTCCAGAAAGATTGAATGTTTTGTTATGGATGTTATCATTCAGAGACCTTAAAATGCAGTTGTTTCTCTTTCGAAACCATCATCTTTAAACACTGTCATGATGCTCCCCCCCCCCCCATCCCCCATTGCAGTAGATAGTACGACCAAACACGAATGACCCGTTTAAACTGAAAATTCCAGTTCACACAGTCCTCGAGAATAAAAAAAAATGACAGAATGACAAAAAAAGAAATGATGATATTGCCAAATGTGTACAAGCATCATCATCTTAATCTCTGGTAAACATCCGTTTCTTGCCCTTTGTAATTTGAACTAGAAATATTTCTTCATTACGCCGCCTATTTGTGCTCCCTCTTCAAACGGGGGCTGTTGCCAAATTAAATATTGAGCAGCACATGAAGTATGCGATTACCGTCGATGGAAACAGAGGGGAGGGGTGGAGGGGTGGGGGGTGCCACTGAGGCTGTAGAGTAGTCTGCAGGCACAGACTCTAATTTGACTCTTTATCACAATACTCAAGCCTACAGCAGAGCCTAGACATGGCAGTATCTGGCTGTGTAAAGTACAGAGCTTACTGTAGTCTCATAGTGCAGACACTTTTTCGTATCAGGGTTTGTACCTGCAAATTATCTGTAGGTCGCCCTCACACAACGGCGCGGCGTCATGACCATGCTGACCTTAGACTCATCATACCCTTCATCAGGCGGCTTTCATAATATTACATGATTGGATGTGCTGCTTCCCATCCAGGGGCCGGGTTAATTTTTTTCTTGGCATGGCTAAGTCCAGAAATCCCCTTGTACGTGTCACATGCCTGCCTGCTACTCAATGTAACCCATCTCCACTATTGTTTAGGAGGGATTAGCGATCACCTTGAGCTCTTACAAGGTCTGATTCCTGCTGTGACCGCTACAGAACGTTGCTCATCAACCGCCCACCGCCCTTAAAGGTATTCTCGAGTAATTTACGTATTAATGGATGAGTCTCATGATATTCTTAACATGCGTTCCATTAACATGATTAGTGAAATAATTAAAACAAAAGGTGTCGCATATAATTGTTTGCTTAGACCATTTAAAATGTCCATTGTCAGAACAATCACCAGAACGGATGAGGATGCACATGCTAAACCATCAATTATGCCAACACGGATATAAGTCTATCAATGTGGACTTATATCAGCCCTCTCATCCGGTTTTTTTTTTAATTCATATTTCAATCACGGGATTTAAAAATCTCCAATGAACATAATTATATTTCCCTAATGAAACGTGCTCTAAATCTATTTCTTCTGAATATTTGCAACCCCCCCCCCCCCCTTTCTCTCTCCCACTCGATCTCTATCTCTCTTTACCGAATTATCTCATCCAGGTAGGTTCTGCCTTTACAACATCGTACTCATTGCATCATTATTATTACTGGAGAAAATAACTTTGTCGAAATTACAATAGAATATTATAGTGCTTTCCTATTTTTCACATTGCAAAGAGACTTAAAACATCATAGAATAATAAATATTTTAGGAATAGTTCGGGTTGGCTGGACAGGTGAGTCAGGGACCTGTAGTTGAACCTAATTGTCCAGGGCCCGATGTTATAGGGGTCCACCAGATCGGAATGACAGCAAATAAGAGTGTGAGACCCCTTGCCGGGTGCAGGCGGACCGGGGTGCGACGAGAAACGGCTATGACAAGTGATGAAAGACCATCCTTCTGCTTGACGAAGCCTGAAGACTATCTGGTATTATGGTATACCTGTATCTATACCACCGGGTCTCTCTTCGTTGCTTTCATATTACTCTCTGACCTTGGTCCTATTCATACGATCCCGTGTTGTTTTTCGCTATTATACAATGTACCTGATATAACGGGTCCCTAGACGATTGCATGCTCAATTACCCCCGGAGATTCCGCCGAATGAACGAGTGAAAAAAAACCGGTCGGGATCTATTCGGACGGTCCAATGTTGGCGCGACAGGACAA